GCGGCGGCTTTCGGGCCCGGGAGGAGGCGCGGCCGGGCGGCGGCAGGCGCGGGATCGGGCCCGCGCGGGCCCCGGATGGGCTTCGCGGGCCGCGGCGGAGGGGAGGGCGCGGGTGCCACGTGGCAGGCCACAATTGGGCGCGGGCAGCGGCGCTGGACGTGTCCGGCACGGCTGGACACGTCCGGCGGCAGGAGGAGGAAGAGGCTAGGGTTTCGGGGAATTCATCCGCGAATTTGGACGGGAGGCACATATTTATAGTTTCTGGGAGCTAGGAGAGTCCAAATGAGGAGCGGTTTTTGGCCACGCGATCGTGATCGAATGACCGAGAGCATGGAGGGGGTTAGGCTGGGATTTGGGCCACTTTGGAGGGGTGTTGGGCTGCAAGACGAACTGGGCTTTTGCGGTTACCCGGTTAACCATTGGAGTATCAAACGACCTCCAAATGGCACGAAACTTGACAGGCGGTCTACCGGTGCTATACCAAGGCCGCTTGGCAAACCTCGGGCCATTCCGAGAAAGTTTAACACCCGCTCACAACAAGAGACAAAAAGGGGGACGCCGGAGGACATAGGAGTGCCGGATTGCAAAACGGACAACGGGGAAAATGCTCGGATGCATGAAACGAACACGTATGCAAAATGAAATGCACATGATGACATGATAAAATGCAACACACAAGAAAATGACCTGGCAACAACGACGAATAACTGGCAGACACCTGGCGCATCGAATCCTGGGCGTTACAGAGCCACCATCTCCCATTGGTTGCACCCAGTAACCAAAGGCTCCCTAGAGTCCGTAGGAGTGAGTCAGGACCACATACGGATCCAAGCTGTAGCTCTGAAGATAACCTGCAAAAAAGTTAAGTTGTGTTGTCTGTTAAAAATCATATCATTTCTGCAGTTCCATATAGCCCATAATAGCGCACATATTCCAATCCGAATACGAGCTGCCGTGATCTTTTCAACCCCAGCTAACCACGTCCCAAACAAAGACGCAATATCTACTGGAGGATTGATATCAAAAGCTATATGAATCGTCCTCCAAAGTAACTTTGCAAGTGGGCATTTGATAAATAAATGTTGTATTGTCTCACCTTGAGTACAAAAACAACACCGCGAGTTACCTACCCATCTCCTCTTAAGTAAGTTGTCCTTTGTGAGTATTACTTGCTTGTGGACAAACCACATGAATAGGAACTTTAACCTTCCATATATGAAGGGACCTCGGGACGAGGCCAGAATTAATCAGATCCGCATAACAAGATTTCACCGTAAATATCTCATTTTTAGTTAACTTCCATTTTGTGGAGTCAGGCACATCAGAGAGTCGAACTTCAATCAATCTCCGAATCAAGTGCATCCAGGCTGTCCATCTCTCACCTACTAACGTACGTCTGAATTGGATGTTCAAGGGAATAGTCTGAAGGACGATACCTACGTAATCTCCCTTTCGTTGCACAATATTGTAAAGGGTAGGATATTGTAGGGCCAGTGGTGTCTCTCCTAGCCACGTATCCTCCCAAAATCTTGTTGACATCCCGTTGCCAATCAAGAATTTGACCCTACGAAAGAACATATCCTTTGTTCTCATAAGTCCCTTCCAGAACGGTAAGTCAGACGGTCTGATGGTAACCTAGACTAGCGTTTTCGAGTGCAAATACTTATTGCGCAGGATTTGAGCCCACATGCCCTCCGGCTCTGTCTCTAACCTGTACAACCATTTGCTCATCAGGCATTTATTCTTAATCTCCAAGTTCTCAATACCGAGACCCCCTTGGTCTTTAGGTCGACAAAGGATATCCCAACGCGCGAGACGGTATTTCCTCTTGGCCTCATCAGACTGCCAAAAGAAACGAGATCTAAAGAAATCAAGTCGCTTTCGGACTCCTTTCGGGATTTCGAAGAACGAAAGTAAAAACATTGGCATGCTAGTCAACACCGAGTTAATCAAAACTATTCGACCTCCATAAGACATCAACTTGCCTTTCCAGCAGCTGATTTTTTTTGATTCGTTCTTCAATACACTTCCATTCCTTATTGGATAACTTACGGTGATGAATCGGAATACCCAAGTAACTGAATGGTAAAGCACCTAATTCACATCCAAACAATTGTCTGTAGGTATGTTCCTTGTCTTTGGCTTTCCCAAAACAGAATACCTCACTCTTATGAAAATTAATTTTTAATCTAGACAATTTTTCGAATAAACACAAGATAAGTTTCATGTTACGTGCTTTAGCCATGTCATGTTCCATGAAAATGATAGTGTCATCAGCATATTGTAGAATGGACACCCCTCCATCAACCAGATGAGGAACTAGACCCTCTACATCACCGTGTTGCTTGGCCCTGCCAATAATGACGGCCAACATATCTGCCACAATATTGAACAAAAGAGGTGACATGGAATCCCCTTGTCTCAACCCCTTATGCGTCTGGAAGTAGTGACCGATATCATCGTTCACCTTAATTCTGACACTACCTTTCTGAACTTGAGTATCGACCTGGTGCCTCCAGGTTTCACTAAACCCCTTCATACGCATTGCCTGCTGAAGAAAAGGCCATTTGACTTTATCATAGGCCTTCTCAAAATCCACTTTTAAGATAACCCCGTCTAGTTTCTTAGAGTGAATCTCATGAAGCGTTTCATGTAATACGACCACTCCTTCGAGTATGTGTCATCCAGGCATGAAAGTTGTCTGACTAGGTTGAACCACTGAGTGAGCAATTTGTGTCAATCTATTGGTTCCTACCTTTGTGAATATTTTAAAACTCACATTCAGCAGGCAAATTGGTCTGAATTGTTCAATCCAAACCGCCTCATTCTTCTTCGGTAATAACGTTACCGTACCAAAGTTGAGGTGGAATAACTCCAAATGGCCCTCGAAAAAATCTTGAAACATAGGCATAAGATCATCTTTAATGATATGCCAACATTTCTTATAGAATTTAGCGGGAAACCCATCTGGTCCCGGCGCTTTATTCGGCTTCATTTGAGTTATGGTCAGATGAACTTCTTTTTCAGTAAACGGTGCAGGAAGAACATCGTTCTCCGCTGCCTGTAATTGAGGTATCTCATCAATTACAGACTCATCGAGAGACACCGTCAAAGGATTCAGAGGTCCAGAAAGTCCTTTATAATAGTTGGAAATATAATAGTTGGAAATATACGCTTTCAGATTTTCATGCCCCACTATTGTTCCCTCATCTTGTTCAAGTTGAAATATCTTCTTCTTCCTATGTTTACCATTTGCAACCATATGGAAGAACTGTGTGTTGTCGTCCCCTTGGACACCCTTAAGCGTTTTCGCACGCAACGCCCACTTGAGTTCCTCCTCTCTCAAGAGAGCACGAAGGCCTTGTTCAGCCTCGGACTTAGTTCGGTGCTCATTAACGGAAAGAAGAGTGGTTTCAGCCTTTACATCTAGTGCCTCAATGAGCTGAGTTAGACGTTCTTTTTTCTGCTTATAAATCCCACTCTCATTCATGTCCCATCCTCTCAGAAATTGTCGGAGGTGTCTAATCTTATTCTGCCATCTCTCGACATGAGTCGAACCAGTAACGGGCTTTGCCATACTATGTGAATCCGAGATAAAAATGTGAAAAATAAATAAATCAGAACGTATTATCTTCACGGAAGATGGACACCTCGCATAGAGAGGGCTAGTGTCTGCCAATGAGTGCCACTCGCCATCCTGCCCTGCCCCAGGGTCGATACTTTTTGATCTTAGAGATGTCGATATTTTTGTTGATAAACTTGGTCAAATTTCAAAAGTTGACTTCAAAACAACCTGAATACTACTAACTTTTCCCCCTCAAAATACTACTCACATTTTGGGGTGGAATGATTGGAAATAATGTGCATCCAATAATACATATCAGCTGAGATTTGACTACATTACCCCAAGTATGCCCAAATAGCTTGCAAACTGTAACAAATCCGAGTTTGACCAGGCCTACAAACATAGTCAACAAAAATAGCGGACACCAATTTGAGAGATTTCACGCGCACGCGGCCGCACACACACAGACTCGCGACGCCAATTTGAGAGATTTCACACACACACGCGCTAACAATCATGGTTGCCTTCTGACAAGACTATGGGGACGGGCACCCGAAGGACAGGGCGCAGCAGGAGGTCGGCCTTCCGCCGCACCGTTAGACCAAACTCCTCGGCCATGTCAATCTCATCCAGTGGTGGACCCTCCCAGTCAAAGTGGAATAGCAGGCTTGCGAGGGCGAGCTCGATGTTGGCGAGGCCAAACCCTATCCCCGGGCACATCCTCCGGCCGGCGCCAAACGGCAGGAAGGAGAAGTCGGTGCCCTTGAAGTCCACCGTGGCCGCCTCGTCCTCGAATCGCTCGGGCCAAAACTCGTCGGGCGCGTCGGGCCAGTAGCGCTCGTCATGGGCCAGTGCCCAGACATTCACTAGCACCTGTGTGCCCCGCGGCACGTCGTAACCGAGCACCTGACATGGCTCTTGGCACTGCCGCGGGAGGAGCAGCGGCACGGGCGTGTGCAGCCGCAACGTCTCCCGGATAACGAGGTGCATGTAGGGGAGCTTGCCGAGGGCATGCTCTGCCACGGTGCCGCGGGCCTCGAAGGCTTGCCTGACCTCGGTTGTCGCCTTCTCCATCACTTCAGGGTTCCTGACCAGCTCTGTGATCGCCCACTCCAACGTCGTCGCTGTCGTGTCATTGCCAACGCTGAATACTTCCTGCCGCTCATGCAAACATTATGAAGAGTCACTCAGAACATTATATTGCGACGATAGTTTTGAGGGACCATGAACAGGAGAGCTTTTCCATTGTCTAAAAAACAGCTATTGCTAACTTTCAAGCAACCGAGATTTTCTAAATGTGAAATAAGGTGAAAAAGTCAAATTAGGTTGCACTTTTCTTGATGGACTAAAGTTGGACTATTCTTGTAAATTTATCGAAGTTTTAAACAACGGGCTAGCTATGGGAAATAGGGCAGAAGCGTCATAACACATTAAATGGCTGCTATAGGGCAGAGATAGCGTGCTATTTAAAACTATAAAACTTATTAAGACAGGTAACTGAAGTAAGTAAGTAGAGTAGTAAGTCATATTTCCTGGAAAATGCTCTTATATTATGGGACGGTGGGAGTAGTACTTACCAAGACGACTGATCTAACGGCGTCCATGTCGATCCTGCCCTCTTTCTGCATGCTTAGAAGACCATCGAGCAAGTTGTGCTCCTTCTGGCCTGCCATGGTCCTCCCGCGGATGATGGCATCGAAAACATCGTTTCCGGTATCACAGCACTCCTTAGCACGGCGGAGGGACCTGCTGAGAAAGCCAATAAGCCGGGACGATGGCCACAGATCCGGTGGGTTGAACCCCGCTGCGAGCTTCGCGGAGTGGTCGAGCGCGCCGAGGAACACAACACGCTGCTTGAACTGGCGTTCAGCCATGACTGTGCGGGCTGTGATATCGGTGACGAGTGAAGATATGAGCGCGCGCATTTCCACGGGACGCGCGGCCGCCGCGGCCTGGGCGATATCGCGGAGCATGGAGGCGACCTCCTCCTCACGGACGACACGGAAAGATAGGATGCGTGGCGCCGAAAGCAGCTCCGAGACGGCAATCTTCCTGAGCTGGCGCCAGTACTCACCGTACGGCGCGAACACGATGTCCCGGCCGCCATCGGTGAGCACCCGCATGGTGGCGTTCAGGGGCCGCGTCGCGAACGCCAAGTCGTGGGTCTTCATCAGCTCGCGTGCACCCTCCCGGGACGACACCACCAGCGTGGGCACCTCGCCGAGCCGGAGGAGCATCACCGGCCCGTGGCGCCGCGCTAACTCACACATCGCGAGGTGGGGGAGCTTCCCGGAGAGGGCGAGGTGGTGCAGGCTGCCGATCACAGGCAGCTGCCACGGCCCCGGTGGCTCGTTCGCCTTGCGGCTGCACCTAGTAAAAAGCACAATGGACATGGACACAATAGGTACGCCGAGGTATATGATCTCCATTTGCATGCTAGCCGTGTGTGCTCTAATTGCATGACTGATTGCGAATTGCGGGGTTGCATGTTTGCTTTTATAGAGCATGTAAGTCTTATATTACTAAATATGTATATATTTCATATTTAATGAGTTTTATTTTAATCCAAGGTATGGAAACTTTGATCAAGTTTATTAAAAAGGACTATATCTAGCAATGCAAAAAAAAGATTAGCTACACCGAGAATACCAAATCTATCTATCTATCTATCTATCTATCTATCTATCTATCTATCTATATCTTGTGATGCAAGCAGACGGCGTCCGGATGTCCACGACCAACCGCTTGCATCTCTATATCTGTCTGTCTATCTATCTATCTATCTATCTGTCTGTCTGTCTGTCTGTCTGTCTGTATGTCTTTCTACTTATTATCTATTTTCTATCTATATATTAATTATCATTATACATTATGTATAACTTTATTAATTCTAGATCTTCTTGAAGCCACCACATGAATCCACGTCATTAAAATTATTTTAAGCATCCGATCTTTATAATTGTGCAAATCAGATTTATCTTAAGCATTCAATTTATGTAACGCATGTGTTCACACTTACCCAGCATCACACATACCCCTCCATCCTTTCAGACGTGGTGCTAAACTAAAAGAAGAACTCTGATGGTTCCTTAAAAGACGCATCATGTGTATCTCAGTATCCTCTCAACAGTTGTTTGCTACTAAACTAATCTCCTTGCACACGCGCCGTCACCGACCATAGTTATGCTATACGTCCGGCAGATTTGACCGCGACCACAATGTCCCAGCCGCTGTCGGTGAGAACACGCATGGTGGCATTCAGGGGCCACGTCCCTAACGCCAAGTCGTGGGTCTTCATCAGCTCACAGGCACCCTCCCGGGACGGCACCACAAGCGGGAGGAGCATCACCGGCCCATGGCTCCATGCTAGTTCACAAATCGCGTGGTGGGGGGCCTGCCTAGAGAGGGCGAGGTGGTGCCACGGCCCAGTGACTCGTTCACCTTGTGGCTGCGCCTAGCAGTAAAAAGCATGCTAGTTGTGCGTGCTCTAACTGCAAGACTAATTGCGAATTGTGTGGTTGCATGTTTGCTTTTATAGGGCTTGTTAGTCTTATCTTACGAAATATATGTTTCATATATTTTATAAGCTTTATTTTATTTCAAGGTATGAAAACTTTGATCAAGTTTATTAGAAAGAAGTATATCTGGCCCCGCAAAAAAACTATATCCAGAATACCAAATCTATCATCTATCTATGATGGAAGCGGACGACATCTGCATGTCCGCGACCGTCAGCTTGCATCCCTATATCTTATCTGTCTATCTGTTATCTATTTTCTATTAATATATTAATTATCATTCTATATTATCTATTACTTTATAAATTATAAATCTTCTTGGCCACCACATGAATCCACGTCATTAAAATTAGTTTAAGCATCCAGTCTACTCCCTCCGTCCCTAAATATAAGTTTTTAGACATTTTAAATGGACTACAACATACGGATGTATGTACACATATTTTAAAGTTTAGATTCATTCATTTTGCTTCGTATATAGTCATTTGTTGGAATGTTTAGAAAGACTTATATTTGGGAACGGAGGGAGTATATAATTATGCAAATCAGATTTATCTTAAGCATTCTTTTAGAGAAAAGGCCAAAGCCCGACTTTATAGATAAAGCCTCAAGGCAGCGTCACGGATACCCCAAGTTCACAGGAGCACACACACACAAAGAAAAGGAAGAGAGTAGCCAAAGCAGGAAAGATACAGGCAACTGCCATACACGGCGCGCAGGCCGGGGAGGGAGAAACACCTAATCTCCGCAAGCGACAGCACCAAATTTAGACGACAGGGTTCCTCCCGGAGATCTGAGAAGCCGAAGCCCGAATTTTGTCGATGAGCAGGTCCAGGGCATCCCGATCAGTCTCCTTAGTCAATGATCTCCACTACTGCAAGAATATACATGATTTGAAAAGAACATCAGCAGGCTTAGATGGGAAGGTAAGTTTAATAGTAAATTTGTTTCTAATGGTCCAGAGAGCCCAACATAAAGCTCCCAGGCCAACCCAAAATACCCTCTTGGTGACCCCGACCAAGGCTTTGGCTAGGGTTCGAATCTCCGCGAAAGAGGAGGGATTCCAGGGAACCCGAAGCCAAGATCTGACGCAGCACCAAACTAATTTGGCCAGAACGCAATTGAAAAAGATGTGATCAGAGTTCTCCAAGGCCCCACATAAATTACAGAATTCCGAGCCCGGCCCATTGCGTTTTTTGATCTGATCAGCAGTCGGGAGGCGACCACGGAAGGCTTGCCAGAGAAAAATCTTAATCTTAGGAGGAACCTTGGATTTCCAAACGCAAGAGAATCGAGCCGAAGGAGTACCACCAATAAGTCTAGAATACAACGACTTAACCGAAAATCTACCAGAGGCCGAATGAGGCCAAATCACCGAGTCGGCCGACTCCGAGAGCACAGGGAAGAGGGCAGAGAGACTTGGCAAATCTTCCAACTCTTCAGGAGACAGTGCCCGACGAAAAGCCAAATCCCAATTATAAGCAGCCACCTCCGCGATGGAGATCTGCGGATTAGGACAGTAAGAAAACAAAACCGGAAAGCGCACAGCTAGGGGGGCATCCCCAGCCCACCAATCCAACCAAAATCGAACAGCCAACCCATTACCAACAGTAAACTTAACATGCTCCAGAAAAATCATTCTAACTTTGACAAGGGATTTCCAAAACTGAGAGCCACGCCGGGCGGAAGCAAACAGCGGGTTGGAGTGAGGGAAATATTTGGCCTTAAGAATTGAAAACCACAACGACTCGGCCCCAACAGTCATAATTTTCCACCACCACTTGATAAGCAAACAAATGTTCATCACCCGAGTATTAATAATGCCTAACCCCCCAAGGTTCTTAGGTTTACACATAAGTTGCCACTTGACCAGCCTATACTTCCTTTTATTATCAGCGGAATTCCAGTAGAAGGCACCCCTATGTTTGTCGAAGCCAGCATGGACGCCATTCGTGAGAAGATAAAAGCCCACAAGAAACATAGGGAGAGAGGATAAGCAGGAGTTGATTAGAGCCACTTTGCCAGCATTGGTATTATATCTACCCCTCCAAGGGAGCACCCTGTTCCCCACTTTAGCAACCGCCGGAGCGAAATCATTCGCATGAAGCATTCCGGGAGAGATAGGAAGGCCTAAATACTTGAAGGGGAAGGAGCCAAATGAGCAGTTAAGGAGCCTGGCAACCCGCAAGGCTTCCGCCCCATCAACACCCGCCACCATAACCTCACTCTTGGCGAAATTAATCTTAAGACCCGAAACGGCTTCGAAACACAATAGGATGAATTTCAGATTGGCAATACAGGCATCATCCAGCTCCACCAAGACGATTGTATCGTCCGCATATTGCAGATGGGAGACACCTTCCGGAAGTAAATGGGAGGCCACCGGAGCGATGTGCCCACAGTGGGCCACCCTGGAGAGCATGCAAGAGAAGGCGTCGGCCACAAAGTTAAAAATAACAGGGGAGGCAGGATCCCCTTGGCGAAGGCCCCTGCCATTCACGAAGAAATTGCTAACAAAGCCGTTAACAGCAACGGCAGTATGGCCACCCGAGACCAACTGCATGATACGATGAACATAAGCACCGTCGAAACCTTTAGCAAGGAGGACCTGCTTGAGGAAGGGCGAGCTAACACTAGTAGAAAAACACCTAATAGTCCCGGTTCGTGAGGGCCTTTAGTCCCGGTTCATGAACCGGGACTAATGGGCCGTTACTAATACCTCCACCCATTAGTCCCGGTTCAAACAAGAACCGGGACTAATGTACCTCCACGTGGCTCTGTGCGCCGAGCCCAGTCAGGGGGCCTTTGGTCCCGGTTGGTGGCACCAACCGGGACCAAAAGTCCATGTTTTTTTTAGAAATTGGCTGCTTTAGGGGTTTTGGGGGTTATTTTTAGGTTGTTATATTAGCTAGCTAATAGAGAGAAGTGTCCTCTCTTATATCTTCGTCCTTGGTTTACCAACGCTGCTGCTATATATGTTCATTTTACCCGCTGATATAATAACTCATGCATGCTCGCATACATCAGCATATATAATAAGTACTCGTCCTACTAATCATGCATCATCATACAACTTCTACTCGCTATTAATAATAAGTCATACGATCATCATCCTCATAGTCATCGAACCCAACCCTACATAATTGTTCTTAACACATGATCATCAATATCAGGTAGGACCTAAACACCCTTAAGGTAAAATAGCATAAAACAATATAGACCCTGACTCTCCATTATGAAGAATGGCGATCATCCTGTCTCCAATTTTTGCCCTTCGCTGAATGTTGCTTCCAAGAAGCTCCTGACGACTGTCCATACATTTTTTCCATTCTTTGATTCTCAGGTCTCCACTTATTTTAGAAACCCGATATGGACAGTTGAGATTCGTAGGACGACCTGGTTGTATGTTCAAAACATGAAGGCTACCGTGTGTATACATCAGATGAGGCACACAATCATTCGGGATTATCTGTTAAAAAACATAGTAATAACTTCGTAGTTAGCAATGATATGATGTACTAGTTTTAGAAGTGTGCAAAAAGATGCACGGATGTTGTAATAGTACAAAAATTTTACCAGGGTATCTCCATGGTAGTTACCGTAGTTCAACACGTGCACTAGTGGCACGTATTGACCATAATGTTGAGGAGTTCGATTGTAGACATTGTAATTCTCAAGATCAGTACAAAATGCGACCAGATGATTTTTCTCCTGATAAGTTAGTTCGGAGCCTTCGGTGTAGTAGGTTCTGTCTACCACCTTTCGCACATTCTTTGAAGAATGAAAATAAGCTGTCAATGGAGAATAAGTTGTCAACTATTTTGCAATAAACAATATAAATTACTTAATAACTATGTTAAGCTCACATGGCGGGAAGAATTGGAGGTGTATCCACAAGGACGAAAATCGTAGGTCTC